TTTTATGAGATGCCCTGACAGTGAAATGATGCAGCACATTGCACATTGCATCGGAGGTTGCAACCTGCCTGCTAATAGCTGCAAAAAGGCCTCTTTCATTGTGGCGATGAGACTGGTAATTCCGCCGATTTGTCATCTGAAAGCCGACTTCTGGCGATCCGGCAGATTAGCATACAAGTGCGGCTAAATTGTTAAGTTTCCGCCTTCTAGGCCCCACTCACTCTCGCCCCGAACAATGATAATTCGTCCCCCTTATCGCGGTTAGTGGATCGCTGGAAAACCCGCTTGGAGGCAAGTTCAAGAGCTAACGAGGCAGGAATGCAAAGAGTGTTAATGCAGGCGAAATCTTGCCACTCTGCTGCATGTTGCAGGTTGCCAGTTGCACGTTGCAGGTTGCTAGTGGCTGGTTGCTGGTTGCTAGTTGTCCAGTGGCATGCAGGCAATTTAAATGCAAAAAGTGAAGCTGTCAATAAAAATTACGCGACTGCCTCTCCACTGCAATCCCCCCTCAACCCCCCTGGGGCATTTAATTTATTGCCCTGCGTGTCTGTGTGAGTGCGTTAAATGTTTTATTAATTAGTTTCCAGGGGGCGGGGGAATTCTCCACATTCTTGGGCCCAGGAATTTGCCCGTGTCTTTCTTGATCTGTCAGTCAAGTGTCAACTTTTGGCTAAACTAATCCCGAAAATCCCTTCCCAACCAACGCACTTGTTTTGACATATGTATACCTATATGTTGGACACATATCGTTTATAAACCTATGCTGATCCACTGCGAATCGCTTTGATGTGGGCGCAGACAAGCCAAAGGGGGCCAACGAAAACCGATTTCAATTTCAGTCATTTTGACAGCGGCTTAAGAGGCCTCAGAAAGGCCCGGCCAAAAGGGGAAACACAATTCCCAAGACACAATTAATATGCCACGCAGTTCTGCTGGCCATAAATGCGTATAAACATGGCCTAAGCACCGCCCCCCGCCCACCGACCGCCCGCCACTTTGGGCAATTAGCATGGCTAACATGAGCGGAGACGCTTAATGGCCTTGGTTTATTTTCACATTACCAGGCAGGCAAACCATATACAATATACCATACCATATGTACAAGTAAAAAAACTTAAAAAAAAAAAAATTACGAAAACAAAATCATATTTTATCGCCATGCATAAATAAATCACAATGGCTGTGGCACTGTTGTTGTCGCTGTTGTCTCGCACTTCTCTGGCGCCGTTTAAAAAGCGGAGTTTTAGCCTGGCTCACAGAGCGCCGAGCCAGTTGGCCAATTGTCTGGGCCAAGTCATGCAAGTTGCCGCCGCCATCAGCGTCGCTTTGGCTGCACTTTGCTGCTGCAATTAAGTTGCATCTGCAACACAGTCAGCGCCGCAGCCACGCCCCCAGAAAGCAGGGCCGCATTCGTAGCATTTGTCAGGGGCGGCGGCATTTGCGGCTCGCAGGCGAGTGCCCCTAATGGCTTTGTTAATTAAAACCAAAATCAATATGAAAGGGCCAAGAGAGTTCGCAATAATGGAGGAGCTGCTGTTGCGGCCATGTTGAAGATGCGCGGCCAAGTGATGCATGGGAAACAAAAGTATCGATTTACAAATGATGTTGAAAACATTTTATCATATCTATAGTAAATTAAGATTGGATTTGTATTTTATATATATTGCATCGTTAGTTAAGACCAAATATGAATGGGCCAAGAGAGTTTGCAATAGTGTTGGAGTTGCTGTTGTGGAAATGATGAAGATGAGATGGCGAAGTGATGTATGGATGGATGTTTGCAGGTATCGACTCACCAATTACATTGAAAATATTTGTAATTATGAAATAATTGTACATAATGGAAAAATTGAATTAATTTAGTTTAGTATAGGACGCAAATTGTACAAAGACAATATTGTCTTATTATACAAAAACAAAGTTTACATGAAATCCACAGAAATTTTATCAATTCCAGAACTCGACATCTCAAATATTCGAAAAGAAAAGTTCTTGAAATAAAAGAAATGTTTTTCGAGATGAAGCCTTTCTTAATTGGATATGTAGGTAGTCTCCATTTTGTTTTTTTATTTAGAGAATTTGAGATTGTATTGATCTTGGCTTACTTTTGAGCTCAAGAGAGCGGTTGTTATTTTCAGAGTCATCAAATTCGAGTAAGGTGTATTTGTTTTCTTTAAGAAATCCTTTTTTGACTCAGGGAAAAAAATTAAAATGTATTCTCCTCATCTCATTTCAATAGAGTAATTTCAAAAATTGTAATCAAGTATTGAATTCGGGAAATCATAAGACACATAGCATTACCCGAGATTTTTATGACATTCTTCATCGTCATACCAATGAATAATAAATATATTTAAAAATACACATGAAACATACATGTTTTTGCCATCCCTAGAATCAGCACTTCCTTGCAACATATTGCTCCCTCAGCGGAACATAAAATTTAAGTACGGCCGCAAAGGTTTAAGGATGGACGGTGGCATAGAGATGTTTTCAGAATTTCCCAAGCAAATTCTTGTTCATAGGTTTTTGTTTTTCTGTTCATTTTGACTGCCGAACAAGTCGTAAATGTGTCCCCGCCCGATCCAGCCCCTTAACGCGAAATGGAGACGCAGGCCGTGACGAGGATCCCGCTTAAGCTCTCGAGATTTATGCGGCACTCGATGGCAGTTAAGATTGAATTGAATGCTTAGACACGGGCTGAACACAAGTTAATTGCCAACGCAGAATGGCAGAATGTGAACAAACCAGAAGCCATTCATTCGGCGCAGAGCTGGAGAAATTATTGCAGTGCAATTTTTTAATATCTTCATTAAGCGCTCTGGGGCCCAGGCAATTAAAAGCCCAGGCGAAACCAGATTCGGAATCCGCAGTTTTGCATAGATCTGGGAACTAATGCGAGTGCGGTGGGATGGGACTCTCGACTCATCGATGGCAGCCGTTGGGCTTCTGGGCGAGAATCATCGAGAATCGAGATGGGAGATGGGATATGGGAGATTCAAGAACCGAGAATGGAGAATCGCGTGTGGCTACCGGATTGCAGACGGATCGGGTTGAGACCGTGTCAGAGGCACATCAAAACGGCGTCTGTTATTATTATTAATTATGCTTTGATTGCCTTCTTGCTGGAATCGCTTCGAATCGCTTGGAATCGCTTGGTATCGCTTGCGGTTCCTGTTAGCAGGCCGTTTGCCAATGCAGCTCCCGAACGTGGCTCTGGCCTCTAATTTGTGGTTGCCAAAGTTGATCATCTTCATTGCCATCACCAGCGCCATGATGAGCTTGGCCAACAGCTAATTGAGTTGTGGCTCTTTCTCCTACTCCGTTTCCCAAGCAGCGAGTTCGTTGCCTAAGTCTTTTGTTTGCTCCCAAAGGCCTGCATACTAAATCAAAGCCCTTAAATGTCCATGGAAATATATGCCAATATTGTTTTCCAAACCCAACCCAACTAAACCCTCCCCATTTGCGATTCCCATTCCCTGGCAGAATGAAAAGGAGGAAATGTCATGCGGCTGAGGGAAAACAATCGCCGGCCATATTTCATAAGCTGCGTGCCTGCCATTCGCAAAACACAATAACTTAGGCTTAGGGCCCCCGATATTTGCATGGCATTATGCAAAATCATGACATGAAAGCGGAGCTCGCCAGAGCAGAGCACTGGAATTGCGCCAGCTCCTCGCCAGCCATATGCAAGTATATGGTATACTATATCTGCCGCTGCCACCGATCTGCCCAAAGATCGGGACCCGCGAGGGACGGACAAAGGCCCCTGGTAAATCACACTTTGGCAGTTGTCGTTTGTGCGCCGCCGGCCCAGAGGCACCGCGTCGTATGCGTAACCCGAGAATGCCCGCGTAAGTGGAGACCCACAGTAAGAGCCACAGAGCCCCAGAGCCCCGACGTGAGTGATGCGTATGAGCACGGGAACTCGGGGGAACGGGTTCGGAACGGGGGATCTCTGCACCAGAGTGCAACGCAGCGCATCGAAACCAGACAGTCAACCAGAGACACACTGGAGCAAAGTGGTTATGGAACTGGTTGCAGATAAAAGCTGGAAATTGCCTGCCTTACAGACTCAAATTTGAATCCTAATCTTGTATATAGTAAAGGTGGTGTAAGGTGGTTCTATAAAGAATGAGTAAATGTTTTTTAAAAAATTACAGAAATTTATAAGACTTAGATATTAGTCATAAGGTATTATGAGCTCAATATTTCCAAGTAAATTTGTAAATTCCTTAACAATCTATAACCTCATCGAATTTTAGATAAATCCTCCAGCCAAGTTATATTCTAAAACATTTTAAACATAAATTGATACATCGGTACTAGTTAAATGTTTCTTCAATAAGTGGTATGTGGAATCTCCGCTCACATAAACAAACAAAACCACAGAAAATAAGGTTTAGATTCGTCCGTCAAAATATCATTTTCTTTTAAGGTCTGATGAAATTCGATGTGTTTCTTAAGGCTAACTGCAAAATGAGGCATTTTGTACACTACAACAGATACTTTTTGAATGCCAACTATCATTGGGATATGTTATCATGATCAACAAGGTTCTCTGGTTTATAGAATATCACTAAGCTCTCTGAAATGATCAGATCTTAAGGGGCCACAGTGCACTTTCTCTGCTCTGGTTTTCGTGGGGGGTGTGACCACTGTTCCGGGGGTTTTGTTTCGGTTTCAGGCCGCCAAGACAAGAACAAGTTGCCCGAGTGGCTGGATGTTGCTTGTTGCGTGTATCTTGCGGTTCGTCTTGGTCGCAGAACACGCAATGTGTGTTCATTGACTCCTGCCTCGGCAAACGTCTTGCGCAACAAGTTGCAGCCTCCTGTCTCCTGCCTCCCGAGACTCCTCTTAAACTCCTGGCTCCTGGTAATCAATCATTGGGCCAGCAAAACTTATGCATTTAAATTGTCAGCAGCAGTGGCAGTGGGCAAAGCCGGCCGAGAAAGGGCGTCCAAATGGCTTTTGACAAATGGACTTGGAAGGCTACTCACTCATTTGACTCCTGCTGGGCGGCTCCTGTGGCCACTTCCGCTGCAGCGGCGCTCGTGTCCAGTTCGTTGAAAGTGAAACTGATATCGTGGGCATCCTTAAACGGCTTCATGCTGCGCGGTAAACTGCGGTGCCGCAGGCTCAGGTTCAGAAACTGAAGATCGCCGGCGGTCAGGGGTTGCAGGGGCACTTGTGGTGTTGCAGGCAGGGGATCCCTATCCTGATCCTGGAGCTGGGTAATCCGATTCACCGGTGGCGGTGGCAGTGGCGGCACAGGACGCTGCTGCTTCTGCTTGGGCGGCAGGGCGGGCTTGGGAGCTTCCTGCTGCTGCTCCTGATTCAGAGGAGGATCCTCCTCCTGCTCGATAATCTCCAGGACCTGGGCCGTGGTTCCCTCCTGCTCCCCGTAGAACTTGGCCATGTTCTCGGTGGCATCCAGCGGACTGTAGCGCTTGCCCCGCACCACCAGATCACCCAGGTGATCGGCATCGATGCCGAAGAGAAAGGGATCATCGAGTACGGTCACCCTGGCATTCCGCTGGGTCATCTCGCTGGACTCGTTGGTGGATCCATTGGTGGTGGACTTGGCAGACTTCTCCCCGCGGACATGGGCTCGCAGGGATCTGAGGAGCTTCTTGCTCCTCCGCGGGGAGGAGGAGAGCGGGAAGAGCGGACGACCCGATGGCGCCGTTCCTCCTCCTCCTCCTCCACCGCTCCTCGGAGTCCCCCCATGATCCCCCAGATCGATGCCATCGTCCGCATCCTCGGCGGCATCTAATTGCCCGGCGATAAGATCGCAGTCCACGGTGTCGTAGTCCCGATCGCGCCCATTGTCGGGATCCTGATTAGCGTCCGCCAGCCGCTGGGCCGCCGCCTTGCTATAGAGCTGTCGATAATATTTCTGCTGGTCGCCGTACAAAAAGCAGACGCGCCACCATTGTTTGCATGCCAGCAAATTGGCGGTACGTGGCACCATCGCCGGCTCCATGTTTCCAGTGGCAGTGACTGTGGCCTGGCCACTGGCAGCAGCATCTGCCCCTGATCCTCCTGCAACTCCTCCAGCTCCTCCAGCTCCTCCTGCAACTCCTCCTCCTGCTGTCAGGGTGCTCATGTTGCTTATTATTATTGTTCCCGGGCCGTAATTATTTTTCAGTTCTCGTTCTCTTTTCTTGTTAGCAATGACATTCTGTACTTGTAGCTGCTTTTTTGGTCGCTTTTGTTTTTCGGCTTAAAAATTTCTGCAGTAAATTCAGCTTCGTGCGGAACTTTAATTACTTGTTTGTGTTTTGTTGATACACTTTTCTTTGAAAATTTATTTCGCTTTGTTTTTGTACTTTATACGGTTTCTTTTGGAAAATAAAATAGATTCGTTAGTTGTACGAAGTACCAGAAGGTTATTTAAATACATCACATCGATACAAGCACTTCCGATTAAGTTTGGGTTTTTATAAATCAATTTTTGTAAGTGGGTAATTCCACAGATTGATTGTCTTAAAAACTTAAATTTTTTCTTTTTCTGAGCCCGCTCAGCACAACTTCTTTCGATACAGATACAAACACTGCCCGAGGAAAAATCGACTTTCTCGACTGGAAATTGGACACTACACAAAGGCCCACCATCTTGATCGATTGCCTATAATTTACTTTCGAGCCAGAAGAAAACCGCCGGGGCATAAATTTAACACTTTCCCCAAACCGCACACGGAAGCTAAGGCCGCCTGCCCAAGGAGGAAAACTAATCAAATTTGTGTAGACACTGGAAATTGGCAGCTTGAACCCTTAATAGTGATTGGATGTAAGGCAAATAGCGAAGCGTACACGCTTACCACTGCTAATGGCCAAAAGCAGAGATGATGATGGCACCCAGTCAGCCATCGGGCCATCTTCATCGAGTATAAGACATCATCCATTGGCCATCGGGGCTTCGGGCCGATTAGTCACGCCTCTAATAAAGACGGCAGACACGTAGCCTCTGAGGCAGGTATCGGTGGAAAATGTGGAAACGTGGAAAACAGCGCTGCTAAGTGCGAGCCACTGCAGTTTCCTTGGCGGCGATGCCCTTGTCAGATAATAATAACTTCATCTTCATCATCATCAGCGCTGACTGCCGCAGCTGCTTGAGTGGTAGCCAAATGCCTTAGCAGCAATTGCAGCTTACCATCATCCCATCCACGTACTGCATGGTATATGCTATATGTATCCTGTGTATGTTTGTCTATCTATATCTCTATCTCTATCTGTGAGTATCTGGGCATCCCAGAGTGCATTAAGCTGCTTTTAGCTTAGTGCCCGCAGACCGCCTTAATGGAGTCGACAAAAAGCGAGGTCTGGGCTCATATTTATGAGATCAATGCCAGGGAAAGGCTGTCAATCAAGAGCGGAGGCAATGTTTATCAGATTACCAAAGCCTTGGAGAGATCAAAGATCAGAAGTACATAAGCCTATGGTAGAGGAACGGTGCGATGTCGGTTCGGTATTGACATCTCAATTAAAAATTAAACGGTCAACCACTTTGAGTGCCAACCAAACAAAATCATGAAAACTGCCTTAGCAAATGCTATGGTGATATTTATGACAGTTTTAAGTGTTTCTTGTTTGGATTTGATTGCTTGAACTCAAGAAACTAATACTTCTTTTTACAATATCGAAGGATTTTTTTAACTTCATGTGGAATATATTAAATTATGTGTCATAAGACCAGCTTGAATTGTATTCAATATTTATAAAATTATTATTAAGACGTCAGAAAGCTATGTTTCATTGCGAATCTTCATGTTGGAATGCCTAAGATAGAGCAGTTATGAAACTGAAGATATCCAAATAGAGTGGCAATTATATTTTTTTTCCTGTGCATGCATCAAACAAGCAACACAAGAGTAAACATTCCACCTCGAAGAGTCAACATCTTGGGGAAGGAATTCGAGACTCAGAACAAAGTAGAGCTACATCCACTTAATTGAATTATAAGCAAGAACAATCGCAGTCATAACCGCCCAAACAGAGCAACTGGCTTCCGGCTAGCACAGAAATGGAAGATGGTTTCCAACCGCTACAAAGTCGGGCCGCAGCACGCGATCCCATCCAGATTTGCAGTTAGACAGCGGGTGTGATTAGAGCCCAATGAGTGGGTAAGTGGGGGAAACCGGTCTTCGGATGGGAAAAGCGGCACTTGCGCATGATTCACATGTGCTACAAAGAGCGCTGCTCTGCTCCAATGCGATTAAAACGCGATCACACAATAATCATAAGGCAAAAGTGGAGCCGGTCCAGCGAATGCCCAAACAAAGACTTCCGGCGATCCAAGACAGAAGATGGAAGACTGCAGATCTGTAGAGGCCAGATGGAGTGGTGCGGTTGGGTGATGGCCTATAGAATGGGAAGTCTGATGCCGCGAGGCACCGTTAGTATTTATTGATGGCGGTTGTTCGACATGTGTAAGTGACGCCATCGATGCTTGTCGCGTAATTCATCCGATGCCAAATTGCCGGCGTTAATATCTGATAATGCCTGACCCACTGGCATCGGCTGATTGAAATCGTACTGCTGACTGTGCCAACGAGGCGTATGCGCAATTTGCATGCCCCGCAATACAGTAGTTGCCTTTTACGTTGCTATTATTTGTGATTTTCCGAACGACTCTAGTTCGGTTTGAGTGGCTGGCGGCTCTGTCATCAATCCCCAGTTGGAATTACCTAGTTGACCAGGATTTGTACCCCCCTCTTTTTTTTTGCATTTGGCATACACACATAAAGTGGCTTTATGGTGCCTTTTATTGCCGGGCATTTGTCGGGGCTTCAAGTTTTCATGGCCGGCGGCTGAGAAACTGCGTGGAAAATGGCAGACAGGAGCAATTAATTTTATGGCTATTTATGTAGATTTTTTTTCCGAGTGTAATTTACACAAATGCAGGTTAAAAAGTCAATTGCTTTGTCTTGGTTTACTTTCCCGGCATGCAGTTAAATCCATTCACCGTTCAACCTTTTGTAATGCGCCCACTTGAGCTGCATTTTTCCTCTGGCCCCCGCCTCGGAGAACCTCTTTTCAACGGGCTGAAAACTGTGTTATCAAGAATCCCATTCAGCATCACAGAATCCGACATATCTATGGACTTATCACTGCCTACCTAAGTGGTTTAGAAAGCCGCAGACGTGACAACTCACTCAGCCGCGGCTGCAACTGTAAAATTTCATAATTTATTATGCAGTCGGATGGCCCAATGGCAGCTGGCACATTTTCCGATATTACCATACGAAAGTCCCGCCACATAGACAATAAGAAACAATGAGATATATGCACTTAATAGCTGGATTCTTCCCGGTTCTAGCCAAGATGTCTCACTCGCTAATGGATTAACTTGTTTGTCTATTTTACGGCCCAACTATAATTTCGAACCTCTGAAAGCTGCGGCTGGGCCGACCCGTAATAATTACACAGTTTAGGCCCGCCAGCGAAACTAGTTTGGCCGAAAGCCAAGCGATCTAATGAGCCATTGTCTGGGCCTCATATTTCATTGGGCCCGATTGTAATCTCACGCTTGTGGGGTGTTAAACGGCCTTTGTCTTGGAATTGATTGTCGCTGCTCAGGAATTCCTTCTCGAATTTTAATTGAGCTTACATGAAAAACAAAACCCGATCGCAGGCAGCAGGAAAATCGGTTGATTTTTGCCAGACTGGAAAACTAAGTGAAAATGAAAATCGAGCTGGGCACGCCTCCAAAACCGAAACCTTGTGGGCGGTTGCCGGTTTAATCTGCGGCGCACTCGTGTTAAATGTCAAATGCAATCAAAAAACGTCGGGGAGAAGGAAACCAGCTAACGTTGCTCCATTTTCCGGGGAACCCGTTCTTATCGGCCTGGAAGATGGTTGGGAAACTAACGCGAGCTGACAGGATGACAGATCAAATTGGCGTTTGCATATATATACGACGGAACCAATATTTATTTACGACTTCCCGCTTTAAAAGCTCATAACTCGGCCTAATTAATTTAAGACCGAAATTCGCTGGCCAATGATGAGAAATAGTTCCTTAATTACGTCTTTAAATGGACGTGAGACATGTGTAGTATGCAAATGGTGGGACTAAAGAGGGAGATTGACATAACGAAGGTTAGGTTGTTGACCCACTCGAAAACCTTTGTTATGCTAACAAAAAACCAAACCTAAACGATAACTGTAAAGTGGCCAATCTATTCCGAGGCGGGATTCTTTCGGATTGTTTTGTATCTCGGAATCTGAGTAAAACTGAGTAGATCTGAGTATCTTTTCATGCTCCGGCAATTGTGGATGGTTGTGGCTGGTGCCGAGGAAACTAGTGAGCAAATTAACACGCCAGTTAGTTAGTCAGTTAGAGGCGTCGATTGGGGTTAAGCAGCCGTGCCAGCTGGCCCAAAGTGAGGGAGAAAGTTGGTGCAGCAGAGCCATAATTGAGCCAACTAGTTGCCGCAACTCGGCCATAAACAACAGTTTTATTTCAAACCGCCGCCGGCCGACGCTACATAATTATGAAGAATTTCTTAATAAAGCCCGGAATCGAAGTCGAGCCAGTGCGAAAATTGATTTCGTTGGCCGGGCCATAAAAGACCATGGTGAATTGCAGTGTTCCGTTGCTGCTTTATGGCTTACACATGTATACACATGCATCTCGATGGAATTTTAACTGAGAACCACTATCGCTTGCGCTTTAAATTCAAATTGGCATGTCAGGCAATTAGAAATCGGAGATAAATTTCAACCCCGGCCTACACGTTCGAGTCAAATGTCTCTTGTCAATAAGGTGTTTTCAGCTGCAAAACCCATGTCTGAAGCCCACACACACACACAGAGTTGGCTCAAAGGCAATTGCTAACAAGCCATTGTTGACACATTGCAGGCCATGTATGTAGTAGGTCCGTTTCATTACAATTCTGTGGGTGGCAGCCGCCGGGCTCGGATCTTCAGATCTCAAGATCTCAAGATCTCGAGGTCTCCAGATCCCGGGCCATATCTGCACTACTAATTGGATCAAGCGGAGAAAGCCGCTCGCAGTGCGCTCACTCCGCGGTAATCAAATTATTTTCGGGCTTTGACCAAGTGTTTTTATGGCTAGACGAGTCATGTTTTATGTGTTGGAGCAGGTCGTAAGCCTATTTGGTTATGACTTCATTCCGCGATGCTGCCGCAGGATGGTGAAAGTGCGCCGCGAACGGCGATTAAAACTTAACGCATCTAAATAAATCAAGCTGAGCACTTCAGTTGACTTGTAATGGGCATATAGGCTTATGAAAGCGATTAAACCGGCGAACTGACGAATATGTGCCCCGAGTTCGTTGCTCAACTCTTTCGTTTGCCCATTGTGTCATGGGATTATTGGCCAAGTACCAACAAACACACCCTGGTTAAGCTAACCGATTCTCGACACTCGATAAGCCCATAAAAATATTGTGTTAGGGCAGCCGGCCAGACGCCTGTGCCTCGCATATCAATCGCTCTCGGGTTTCATTTGATTTTTTAATGTAATTTTATTGTTGGTGGTATCGGCATGTGTATCTGTATCTGTATCTGAAGGGGCATGTATCTGTGGGAGGAGTTTGGGTATCCGCTTGTATCCATGTCGAACGAAATGCGCTGCGTTGACAATCCCCAGGCAAAGACCTGGCTTAAATCGCACCTCACTTGGCCATTTGGCTTATCCCATGCTTTTAGCATAATTGAACGTTCCGCGAGTTGGGAAATAAATTCACTCGGCCCAAAGAAGGAGCTCTGTACCGGGTGACAAAAAGGCCTGGCCCTGATAGGGATCGCCCTGGATTTCTGATTGCACTTCACTTATTTTTGTCAATTTTATTTTTTGCAGTTTTTGTAAATTCAGTTAGCAGATTTTCAATTTTTGTGGTTTTTGTGCACTTTGCTCTGATCATCTGGCTGGAAAACGGTACATGACAGATCTGGTGCAAGATAGCGTGGACCGAAATCTACATCGACGAAGACCCGAGCGATCGATCGATCAGGCGGACTTTACGACGACAATGCGCACCTGTTGCCAGGTGTAAACCGCTCGCAACGGACAACGCTTTCAGACTGATCGAACCTCTCCTGGTGTGGATCGCTCTGGGGTTGGATCCCCGGCTGTGGATCGTGTTCGATGAAGTATTATTCGGATCGGATATATAAGTTTTAAAGTATTTGTTACCAAGTAAAATTTGTATACCACTTCAGATCTTAGAAGAAATTTGTAAGCGCCATAAAAATGTTCATTTTATAAATATAATTTGCTCAAAGTAAACTTAAATCCCATTTATATTGAGCTCCAACATAAGCTGCAACTCCTACACAAAACATGTTCGATACCATCTACGCTTATATTATCATCCTAAAAGTATACACTCTGTGTTAACATATCTAGACGTAAATGTGGAATTTAATGTACGATTCCCCATAGAATTTTACATTCTCTTTAACTTCTTCAACGAAGATACTTGGCAAAAAAAAAATTAAAGAATTAATCTTTTGCTGTATAATATAAAAACATGGTCAAAAGATCTTCATAAAGTAGTTTTGTTATTTTTGGCAACTAAAAATACTTTATTTTAAGTGAACTCGATTGTACATTCTACATAAGATTCCCAAGTTATGTAGAGAAATGTGTAGTGTATTTCTTAAGGCCTATTTTTGGAATAGTTCCAATTCGAACCGTCAGCTAGACGTAGCGCTGGCAAAACTAAAAAACGAATATTTTTCTAAGGTTTTAACTTTTGTTAAAAGTAAATTCAGCTAGCTATTAAGCTTTAAAAGTTATCTTAAGGAAATATTTAGCTTGGATTTTAAAACTGTTTTTTAGATCTTTAATAACTCTGCTGAAACTGAGTAAAGTGGAGTAGAAAGTTACCCAAAATCGTTTACTCATTTGTGTGTCTAGCAAATAAAGTGTATCTTTTAGGTTTTCTAATAGAGTAACCGTTAAATAGGATTTGTCAAATAACCGTTAAATGATTATCAAGTGACATTGACAAATTACATGTGTCCTAAAATGTAACATAAGCTACGTTTAAATAAACAAGAGAAATGTACTTTATGGAATTTACATTGAGGCCATGCCATTTTTAATCTGTCGCTCTGCAAGAAGACATATTTCCCAACTTCTAAAATAAACTGGCTTTAAAATGAGAAAAAGTGCGGTGTCAACCGTCTTGGCCAAGTGGCGGGTTCAAGGTTAATTTGCCGCTGACCATGTTAGTTGGTCACCATGCATCTTCAACTGGAGATCATTAGGCCGCACATTAGTACCATCTCAGAGCGGTCTGTGGGCTAATTAGACGTCGAGTGTGAACGGAAACACTGCGTTTCTGCCTGCCGCTTTTTGTTGCACACCTCGTGGAATGCCCCATGATGCATGATTTATGGTATTTGGAATCGTGGATTGGCGGCGTGTGAAGCTCCCGAGGGGCCGGCCACCAAAGACTTACCCACAGATGCGTTTTCTTGTGTTGGCTTGTTCACTTGTCTTACCTGAAACGAAAATGGAAATGACAGTCGATTAGTTAAAGTCCAATGAGGGCCCAAATGGATATGTTCTACGAACTGAGACTAAGAATACGGATTAAGGTTAGTGTTGACGCTATCACAAAATCAATTTGGCTAATTGCAAGCATAATGGCCTCGTTGGTTGCCACATTTCATCAGACACCGTTGAAAGGGAATGTCAAAAGAGCAGCCCACGAAACGCAGACAACTTTTTGACACGCCAACTCTGGGTGGGATGGGGCGGTTCGTTTTCCGTTTATTAGTGGAATCGAATAGCCCCCAAAGTGTCATCAAATCAATGCAAACTAGCAAACTAGCTCAAATCGAAGTCGGCTGCGAAACTTTTCCGGCCAACATTTGCGCGCCATTAAGCTTGATGGGGGTTGGATTCCGAGGTGTGGGCCCAGGATTCCTCCTCCTGGCGAAATGGGCAATTTCGTTGGCCCATAAAGGGCCATCGTAATGGGAAAAGTTAGCGCCACATCAGGGGCACAGGTGTGTCCCCATAGGCAGGGAAATAGTTTCCCACACCGCCCCAGCTAATAGATTTCCAAATCAATAGACCATCCCTGGGGAGTTTTTCGTTGTTTCTTGGGAGTTTTCTTACTGGCACATTAAATTTGGACTTAACACTTAAACCTAAGCTAAACATTCTGGGTACTTTCGATAACGGAGACCACATCTTCGGCCATGTCACACAAATGGGAGTAGGTCTGCATGTAGAGACTATCTCTGTAGGATTTCCTCGACCGCAGCTTCTTCAGGAGATACAGATAGGGGTTCTCCTTTCTCAGTTGACGCATCCAGGGCTTCGGTTCTGACTCTTCGTAGACCTCCTCCTCCAAGGCGCTCTCCTCATCCTCCAGCTGTTTGACCTGAAAGCGATTGATCTCCAACCGGAGGCCACTCAGCTCCAGCGAAGCCATCATCTCCTCCCACTCCTGAATGCCATTGCCAATGCAGCCCCGCACGTAGATGAACGTGGACCGAGTCCTCTGATCATTCCGACTGAAGTGAGTTAGGGATCCCTTACCTCCGCCCTGCTTCAGTTGCTCCTGAACCTCGACGAGCTTTGCGAAGTGCAGCTGTCTTTCATTGGAGTCCGGCAGCCGTAGGATTACCTCAAGAAGCGTCTCCAGCCGAAAGTCCCAAGCGGGCTCCCTTGTAGTCTTCAGATCCTGGTATATGGCTTTCAAAGTCTCCAGGTCGTCGAATCGTTCGCACTTGTAGCCCGTATTTTCGGCATTGAACACCTCCCGCTCGTCAAAGATTCGCTCATACGGACACATTACCTCATAGGGCTGCCGGAGGGGCACTATGGATGCCTGCAGCTGGTTCAAGTCATCGGCCATCCGCTTCTTGGACTTATCAGTGACCGAGTTCTGCAGCTTCTCTAGTTTATTTGTGTACTCCGGTGCCGGAACACATCTTCCCGTGAGTCGGGCCACAAAAAATCCTCTGGCTGATCCAGTTACATTGGGAAAGATGCGGAGTTCGAAGCGCTGTTTGAACAGGGAGCAAAACCGCGGACGGAAGAGCGCCCGGCACACCACCTCCTCGCCGGGAAAAACCGTGAAGGTGGTCTGGGACATCAGGAAGTTGTGGCACTGGACAATGCACTTCCCAACACGTTTGCAATCCGCAATGGCCCACTGGCAGGTTAGCACCTGGACGCCCACGTTCTCCACGCGAGCCACCTCCTTGACCTCATTTTGGAACGGGTGGCACTCGAAGAAGACGTTCGCGATGTCGGGCAGGAGACTTCTCTTGCCTGAGTTAAAGAACACCACGCCGTTGATCTTGACGGCTGCACGAGCCACCAAAGATTCCTGTTCAGGCTCGGCCTTTGGGAGGTCCTCCTGCTTTGGCTCATCCTCCGGCAGGATCTCCGACGTGCTGCTCAGGCTGAAAATGGATTTGCAAGACACTCGTTCGATCTTGTTGTCGTTGTCATGGTGGGGGATATCCTGCATGGGACAACTTCCCACCACTTCCAGCTTGTCCAACTTGGGGAAGAAGGGCAGTACGCGTTTTATGTCACCTTTCTTAGTCTCGATGCTCTCTTCCAGCACCTTTGACCTTAACCACTGGCTGGGCTTCTCTGGGGGCAGGTGCGTCGTGCCCAGGATCTCCTGCTTGGTGGCTCGGGTCAGACCACTGACCTCTAACTCCGCTTGACCGCTTTTCTCAGCCCGCGGTAGGGTCTCCTGAAGTTCGGGGAGTTCCCGGCATTGGCAATCTACATGGGCGGGAAGAACAGCTGGTTTTTTCTGGGCCAAGGTCGTGGGGTTCATGCGACCGGCGAGGTCTAGCAGCCGCTCCACGGTTCCACGATCCCCAGGAGCCCCTGTGCTGCCCACGTTGATCAGCATCTCGTGTGGACGGCGCCCCAACTTCCGCTGAATCTTCGCCTGGACGGTGGCACGATTTTGGAGGGTATCGTACCACAGCTTGAGGCGCGGATCCATGCTCATGGACTCCCGCATGTCCTCGTCCAGCGAACACTCCGATTCGGACAGTGTGATGGTGCCCGCCTTCTTGTCGAAAATGTCCTGGATTATGTCGTCCAGTATTTTCTTGCCCTCTTGGTCGTTGACGTCCTTGAGGCTTCTGCGCTGGCGAAATTCCAGCGCGGTGGAGTCGGATTTTATGTCCATCACGTTCTTCTGGGACTCGGGTTCCTTGTGGGATCGTGCGGTCTTTAGGAAGGATTGCATCCACGAGCGGTGTCGCGAACCAAGTCCACTGCGCCTTTCCATTTTTATAGTTTTTATTGTATTTTTAAATGTTTTAACGTGTTTTATTCTTGATCAGTTTATTTATGTACATTTGTATACTCGGTGACAACTAGATGTGAGCTGTGCTCTCGATTACCGACACAATATCCTCGGCCGCACTGCAGATGAGTCTATATAAGTGGATGTAGATAGAGTCCTTAAAGTACTTGAAGCGGTGAAAGTGGTTGGCCTTCTGCAGGCAGTCTTTGGTTTCACTTTTGCTGACCCTTGACCAAAGGAGTTGCACCTGCTCTTCCCATACCTCTAATTTGCTGGCGAGTATTCCACGCACATAGATGGTTTTAGAGAGGCAGCGATTCCTTAATCTCTCAGGAGAGTCCATCCTGCCAAGTGGCAATGAAGATGTTCCCCTCAACCCTTCGAGCAGTTGGCTTAGTTCCGAAAGATGCTCAATTCGCTGGCGAGTGTCCTGGCCATTACACACCAAGTGGATGAGCGAGTGGACACTGTAATCCCAGCAAGGAGTAAAAGAAACTGAGTGGAGAGGCTTTATTCGCCTGTAAAACTCCAAGAGACGCACAAAATCTTCGTGGCTTCGGCACTGGAAACTCCTGTTGCGCCGGTTGAAAGCCTCTCGGTCCTCCAGCTCCCGTTCATATGGACAGAGGGTCGGATTCCGCTGATCCAGGTGAACACGTGGCTCATAGAGCATCACCTGCAGCTTCTCCATTTTCAGGCGATCGAAGTACTCCTTGGGCGGAGTACAGCGACCATTCAGGTTTAACGTGAATCCCGCAGGACGGCAGAAGAAGATGCGCGGTGTCGTCAGGAGTAGCCATCGTTGTTTTACAATGGCCACATATCGAGGTTGGTACAGAACCGTAACTTCCCGTAACTCGCCTGGAAAAAGCATAAAGGTGGCCACATCGAATACAAAGTCTCCGGAATCGGGTTCCATGAGGGTATCGTTGTTCGAGAAGTAGTTGACCTGTCTCCAGAAGAAACGCAGCACTTGGTTTCCGCAGTTCTCGATGCGAACGATGGTGCGCAGGTGGCGCTGGAAGGGATGGCTGGTGAAGGTCCGGTCCACAATGGGGGAGAACTCCGGAGAATGGGGCCAGTAATGTATTCCGTTGATTCGGACACCCGGTCCGGTCGCCGATTGTTGGATCGCCTGTATCGGTTGGACGACCTCCCCTCCTCCACTTGACCTTAAAAGCGCAGCAGAACTGACCTTTTCATTTGCTATTGAGCGGGGAACATCAACATCATGGCAGTCCTTGTACTTCCTGCCCACCACCTCTAGGTTACAGATTTTGGGTGGTAGCTCTGTCGAACAATCGTCCTCTTCCCCCTCCTTGGGATTTTCCCTTCCCAACAACTCAGCAGCAGAGTGTCTGGGTAGTCCTACAGTCTCTACAAAGCCCTTCACCGAATGGCTCACTACCTTTCCCTGATGATTTAATAGCATCTCTTCCGGAGTTCTACCCAACTGATTTCGTAGCCTCTCTTGCAATGCCCGACGCTGAATAATCATGTTCTTCCAGTAATCCAGGCGACGGTCCACTTTGGCTTTGGACTTCCCTGAAGGGAAACTTGTTGAGGACCCAAAAGAGGACGACTCTTCGTAGAGACCTCGGCCGGGATGCTCTCTCAAAATATGGTCTATAACTCCATTGGCCAAGCCATCAGGATGTACGCTTCCCTCGGAGGCATAGGTATTCTCCTTGATTAGTGGATTAGTAGAACTTGAGCACATTTTGAAATTTATTTGATTTAAATTGTCACCCTTGATAAGTGTTTTGACTTTAAAGGCAAGAGTATGTAACATGAAAGGGAGGAATGGTGGATGAGAAACACTATCTGGATAATCTAATCAAGAAGTAGATTTTACTGTTTAGAAAGGAAACTTGATGCAATATGAAAACAATTGATTTGTGCATGTCTATCTCAAAGAAACGTAAGTCTTGTAGTCCTTCCTGAAGTTCTCCAAACTCTTTACGGGATCGCTTCTGTGCTCTCTATGACGGACACAATGTCCTCGGACATGTTGCACAGATGTGAGTAAGTTTGGATGTATAGAGAGTCCCGGAAGTACTTGGACTTGTATAAGCTTCGCATCACTGCCACCCGGATCTTTTCCTCGTCCAATTCCGTTTCTCCGATAATTTCCATGAGTTTCTCCTTGTCGATGGGCGTCATTGGCCTTGGTTGATGAGGCTCTTCCCCATCTGATTCTCCATCGCCCTCTTCCGATTCGCCGAGCAAACTTTGGTAGTACCGCTGTAACTCCGGCTTGAAGAATGAGTCCTGCACGTTGTACATGAGATCCTCCCACTCGGCGATTCCATTGCAGATCACACCACGCACGTAGATGAACCGGGAACGTTGCTTTTGATCATCCCGCTGGGCGGAGGGGGTATTCAAAGAGGATCCCAGCAGAGGTGAGAGAAGATCGGTAAACTCGGCAAAGATTTTCTCCCGCTCCAACACATTTTTCATCTGCAGAATGTAGTCCTTGATCGTGGACAGGCGTAGGTCCCACAGTGGCTCCCTTGGCTTCTTCATACGATGATAGAAAGCACGGAGCACCTCCAGGTCGTCGAAACGAACGCAGTTATATCCTGGATTCAGGGCGTTAAACGCCTCCCGATCGTCCAGAGGTCGATCGTAGGGACAGCAAGCCGGAGGAGGCACCACCAAGGGAGCCAGTGCACCCAGATGTGTGGTCAGCTTGCCCATGGCCACCGCATCCGACTTGCAGATGCAGGCGCACTGGCACTCCAGTAGCTTCGCCATGTAGTCCGCCGGCGGGGAGCAGCGTCCATGGAGGCGGAGCAGCAGCGATTCCTGGCGGCCGCAGAAGATACGCGGTTCCACCTGAAGCAACCACAACTCCATGGTCATGGCCACCTTGCGCGGCTGGTAGAGCACGGCCAGGTCCCGAGTCTCACCGTGAGCCAGTCGGAAGCCATCTAGATCAAAGTGGAACTCGTTGTCCGTGGCCAGGAGCAGAGATCCCCGGTTGTAGTAGTAAGTGCTCTGTTTCCAGGTGAAGGATAGCGTCTGCTGACCAATGTTGGTCAGCTTCAGGACGTGCTTAAGCCGTCGCCGGAATGGATCACACGTGAACCGGGTGAGGATCTCGTAGCAGTCTTTGATCCCTCCACTGGTTCCCTCACCCGGTACGTAGTCCACCCCATTGACCCGTAATCCAATTTCCGGTACGACAGGCGGAGCCTCCGTAGACTCCTCCTCCGTGGCCCCACAGGACTCGCATATGCACTCCTCGGAGCAAATTGGAGGGCTGTCGCTGTTGGTCACCGTGTGGAGAGAGTCCACCTCCATAAGGACTGTATCTGGGGACTTTATAAGCTTTCTGATAGCCCTTCCCTTAATCTGCAAGGCGTCAACATCGGGGAAGAACTCCACCACATTTTGGATGGCCGGAAAGCGCTGCTCCAGTCGTTCGTCCAGGAACTCCGATTGCAGCCAGCTGGGTGGAGGCTTCTGCTCCAAGGCATCCCTGCCCAGCAGTTCCCGCTTGCTGACCTCGGGCAGACCAATGATCTCCACATCCTTGTAGCCCAGCTTTTCGGCCTGTGGAGGAGTGGCCTCTAGACCGGGAATCACCTGGCAGGTGCAAGGATCCTGCCGATCACCAAGTTTGGCAACTGGAGCACCCATCAGTCGCTCGCACTCCATGCGATCCGCGTAGTCCAGGATCCTCTTCACCGTCTGCCCATCGCGGTTGTCCAGCGTGGAGCGGCGGTTGAAGAGCACCTCGCTGGCCAGCTTGCCCGTCTCCCGCTGGACGCGCTGCTGCATCTTCCTGCGCTGCTGCAGCACCTCCTTCCAGTAGCGGAGGCGTTTGTCCACATGTGGCTCCTGCTCCTCACGTGGCCATGGCTTGTCGGCCAGGTGGCAGGATGAGGAGGTATCGGGGAACTCGCCGCGTCGCTCCTGGAAGATCTCGTTCAGGATCTCCTCCACCATGCGCTCCGTGTACTTGCCCATGGGCGAGGTGGCATTCAGCTGCGCCTGCGCAATCGAACGGGTCGTCGGCTGCGACAAGGAGGACGGTAGCGTTACCATGTTGGCCAGTGTGAATTTCGAAATATTCTCGGAACCGGCGGTTCTGTTGGTGAACGTGGAGTCCGTTAAGAACGTGCTGCATTCCGCCCCCAGCGAATGTGAACTTCTTCTGTGGTTTGCCATTTTCTGAGAGTTTGGGTATTTTGTATGTTAACTTCAAATGTTATAAAAAATATAGAATCTCTTGTCAACGGTGTTTCCAAGACTCAAAGGAATCCAAGCCAGCTATTACTATGTTTATGCTATGAATTTCATGCTTTCTCCAATACATGAAATTATAATAGCCCCTGTTTATACAACACAGACAAAATCATGAAATGATTTTAGTAAAGCTGTCAAATTTTTTGAATTTGATATAGAGCTCTATAGAGTAGTAGGCTGTGAAGTAGGCTGTGCCTCAACATTTTGTGAATTGGGGCTGAATTCATAGTCAACTTTCGTGTGTTATTCTACCATAATTTGCATTGCTCCAAAAATGGGAAACTGTTGAATTTTTAAGAAAAATTGACCTACATCCTACATCCTTTATAAATGCTTTTTTTACTTTATTTGGGTAATGCCGTTGAAACACGTTAAAAATATATAAGAACGAGAACTGTTGTGCTCTGATCGTATTCAATGCAGTTGGAATGGGATGAGATGACCTCATTAGATGGAATCTTAGTCAGAGGTGCTTTCGATGACGGACACAATGTCCTCGGCGGTATCGCAGAGCAGATTGTAGGTCTGCATGTAGAGCGAGTCCTTCAGGTACTTGCTAGTCCTGACTCTCTTCGATATGATTTCCACGATCTTCAATTCTTCGTTCGGTTCAGTTGGATCAAGCTGGCGGCTCTTCTGGGTCACTCCTCCGTTTTCTTGAAGGGAAGGTTGACCCAGGTAGCGCAGAAGCTCCAGTTTGAAGTACTGTTCATCCAGGCCGACGGCCATGGCCTCCCACTCGTCCACGAAGCTACTGATGGTGCCGCGCACATATATGAAGCGGGCCCGTTCCCGCTGGGGATTGTGCTCCAGGAGGGGAAATGCCGAGCACCCGTTGCACTTCATCGGCTGAAGCAGAACCACAAGTCGGTTGTGGAGATTCTCGCGCAGGAACCGGCTTTGCTGCTTGCCGATGAAGTGCCGCAGGGTCTCGATACTCAGATCCCAAGGTCGGTCTCGGGGCTTCTTGGCTAGTGCGTATATCTCCTTAAGGGCCTCGAGATCCTCGTAGCGCTCGCAGCGGTAGGAAAAGTTCTGGGCATTGAAAACCTCGCGCTCGTCAAGGGCTCTTTGGTAGGGACACAATGGTCGGGGATTCTCGATAATGGGCGTCAGGCTGGCCTGCATGTTGAGGATGCTGTGCGCCTGCAGATTCTGTTGCTTGTCCACCGGCACCTTCCGGTGTTTCTCCAGGCGGTGCTTAAAGGGAGCCGGCATGGTGCACTGACCCTGGACGATGACCTCCAGCCGTCGGGTGCCGCAGAACGGCGATTTTTGGATGCAAACGTACCAGCGCTGCGTGAAGAGGCCTACGATTTGCGGCTGGAACATCACCCGGACGAGACGACGACCCTTCGGCTCCAGGATGAACTCGCTGCGGTCAAAAACGAGCTCGGAGTTCATGGGCAATCGATCGGAACGCAGGCGGGTCTTGCTCAACCAACAGACATGCACCAACTTCGGACTCAGGTTCTGTGGGGAAGTCGACCTATTGGTTAGCTTGTCTGTTAGACTTTTGCGAGGAACCCCAAGGAAATCCCAAACAAGTTCATTGAAAACATAAGATAAGGTATTCAAACTTCAATGCGACACTAAGCCTAGAAAAATTGTGTTTTCAATCTTAATTATTGCTCAAAATCAAGACAAGGTGTTCCCGGCTTGAGAAGCTACAGTTGTCCCAAAAAAAACCAACTCAAGAATATTTCGTCTGAGTTTCAAGAACTTTCCTTCTCGAATAAGTAGTACGACGATTGTAGAAAATTTGCGGTTATACTAGAAGTACTCCGTTTTGTTATTAGAATTCAAACTACCTCTGCCTTTAGTGTGTCTTAATCAAAATAGCATTCGATACTTGTTTGGATGGGGACATCACCTATTAGATTAGATGTTTTATAAACTAACCCTATCGAGTTTCAAGAAAGATTGTGAGATCTCGGTCCCCAAAGTGTGGCCTGATTTTACCTGGATGTCCAACAGCATCTTGACAGAGCGCTGGTACGGTTGACATTGCAGCATCATATTGATGCAATTGCCGGTGGCACCGATAGGATTGCGGTAATCAATGAGCATGCCATTGATCATCAGTCCGTTCACATCCTGTGGCTTGTCCGCATCTTGGGTCTCCACTAGGCCCTCGATGACATCTTTGATGATTTTCCCAGCCTCCGGCTCCCCATCGCCCTCACCCTCCTCCTCATAGGACAGCACACCAACGTCATCCTCCTCCTCCTGCTCCTCCACTGGGGTGGAGTCGCCGGAGATGTGCCTCAAGAAGGATTCGCCGAGTCTGACTATCGGCGGCGTCTTGTTGGGCGGTTCCACCACTGCCGGCGTTATTTGAAGCTCGTGAAGATCGGGTGCAAATTCCAGCACCTTCTGTATGAACTCCTTCTTCGCCTCGAGTCGCTCGCTGAGGACCTTGGAGCGCTGCCACTGGCTCTCGGCCTCGTTGGGCGGCACCTGGGTGGCGGCCAGCTCCTGCTGAGTGACCTGCGGCAGCCCGATGAACTCCACCTGCTGCAATTGCGGCTTTACGGCGTACAGCTCTTTGATCTCGCGGCAGAGGTCGGGATCTCGACGGGGTTTTAAAGAAGTCAGGGTAGTCTTCTCCTGGAGGCGGTCGAGAGGACGAGAACGGTCGGCCGTGTCCAGGACGCGCAGGATCATCCGCTTGCTGGCCTCGTCGATGGTTGCCGACCGATTAAACAGGACATCCTCGGCCCGCTTGCCCGTCTGCCGCGCGATCCGCTCCTGCAGTCGCCGGCGCTCCTCCAGCACGCGGTTCCAGTTGCGCAGCCGCGGGTCCATGTCCAGATCCTGGTCCAGATCCGACCTGAGCCTCGGCTCCCTGGATCTCACGGACTGGCAGTGCTCATCCAGAAGGCTGTCCGACTGCTTCAGCTGAAAGTTCTTCGTGCGCAGGACCTCCTTTAGAATGTCCTCCACCGTCTCGTTGGCCACAAATTTGTTCTCGGGCTGCTCTGCATCATCGTGCTCGTCCATGAAGTTGTGCTTATTGGACTGCGAGCCATCGTCGACCGATACCTGTGAGATCTTTGCCAGGGAGTGTATGATCGAGTGCTGCGTGGGCCTCATAATTATGGATTTTCGGTAGCTCTCAAGGTAGGGTATTATATAAAAGTGTTAAGCTGCGAATATGTAGTATGGAGCTGCCTTAGTTGACAGAAGGAACCTATGTTTTTCTGATTCACTTATTTATCTATCCAGAAAGTTTTCCATTGACACCCTGGCCACTTAGTACATACTTCTTCAAACGAACCCTTAACTTTTTAAGATTAGTTGATTATTAAATTGATAAAAGTTATCGTTAGCTTTAACTCCTCGTTAGGTAAGTGGGCTTTACTAGTTTATGAGCAAATTCCTTACCCACACTCACTTCCTTGTAAATTGCAATTTATGAGGCTGGCTGGTGTGCTAATTTGCTAACAATCCCCACCAAATTGCACCCAAAACCCCAATGGAAAACCCGGCTCGTGTGACAAGTCATCGTAATTTTCGCCCAAGCTGTTGGATCGGCTTTTTTCCTTACCCGAATTTGAATTTCCCTGGCCATTTACCTTAAGACTCAATGACATTGACGTGCCGCCTTCACACAATTCAAACAAGTTGCCTAGAAGTTGTTGTTGATTTTGATGTTGATGTAGCCATTGTGACTGGCACCGCCAACAAAGCCCACAAAGAGAAAGGAGTCGCCGTGGCTGTCGTATATCAACTTACCTGAAACGAGAAGAGGAGAAATATTAAATTGATTTATACACAAGTCATGTGCAACGTTAGCAACAACTGAATATGAACTATTCCTTATTTATGGACGGTTCAAAGGCTCATTAATTATGTCATCTGCGGTTTTTGCTGGAGGTCGAGGAGGAGCTTTCATGTGGTTTGGGGTTTGATATGCCCTTTACCCCCAAAAAGAGGAAGTGAAATGGGGTTCTTTGACTGGTGGGATTGCTATCCCAGAAACAAACTTTTCGCTTAACAAAAGGGCGAAAACAGTCGAGTGAAACAAAGCCATATCAATTACCCTGGCAACCAGCCGTAGAGAAGTATAAAGTAATTTAGCCCGAAACAAAACCGCTAAGGGAGGGATCCTGGCCAAGAACAAAGGCCGTCAGACCGCAGAAAAGGAAGCCGAGTAGGGACTGATAGGGAATGAGGAAGGGGAAGAGGCAGGGGCTTGAGCTGCGGAAATGCACTGCATTGTTGGCAATTTCAATACTCATCATTATTACGGCGGCTGGAAGCCCTGGAGTGCATGTGTTCCATCTACGTGCCGGCGAAATGCAATCAACATATTGTAATTCAGAAATGCATATTGAGAACGTGCAAAAGATACTCGTACTGGCAACAATGCTGCTTCTGTTGCACTTAACGGCCCGGCGGAGGAAAACAAAACGAAGCCCTGCCGAGACCAGGGGACATTGTTGCCGCCGTCGCCGCCGCCTCAAGTGGATACAGCTGAAAATCTGGCAGCGCTTGCATTTTGATTTCCCATCTCGCATTCTCTCAAGCAACGCATTTATTATTTACCAGCCAGCAACAGGCAGCAAACAGCAAACAGCAAATGGCAACGGCGAACTGAAACTGCAAACTGCAACTTAATTCCGCAGACTCATGCTGCAGTTGTCAACGACGAAGACTACTTGCCCCAGCCTGCTGCACGTTGCATACCTCTTGGTGTTGACAGTGAGACAACAGCAGCAACATCACATGCTAGAGCTCAGGACCCAGACGCCAACTGTGGCGCTCGTTGAGTGAAGTTGGACAACCGACAGACGGACGGATGGACGGACGGACGGATCGACGGGCGGACGGATTGTCAGACAAATAAACCCGTACAATCTGTTTGCGCGCTATCAATGCAGAAATAAGTTGGTGGAGGGGGCAAGGAATTCAATGCGACTCAAAGATATTTAGTTTCTTGATGTTTTAACATAAACAAAATACCCTTGCTCACAATAATAATTTAAGTAACTTAAATATTAAATCCACAAGTATATCTGTGGAACTTGTATCGACCATTTTAATCTGAAATTGCATCCCCGTTTGCCATTAGTTTGGCTCAACTCTATAAAAGTGTTAGGCCGAACAAACTAAATAATCTAATCTAGTGCAAAACATTTTATAATTGTCAAACATTTGGACTCAAAATACCTCGCATTTTAATAAAAAAAAGTAAGTACCTAGAAGAATTTTTTAGATTATCCTCAAACCATGCCTAAAAAGTGTATGTCATATGTATTTTAATCCGAATTTAATTTTAATCCCCCAGAACCAAATTATGGCTCCGCCACTGCTTCAAGCCAAAGATTTCAAAATCAACAAGATATCTAAAAATAATATTTATGTAGAAAATGGTCATAAAGTAGTTCTTAAAAGATTTTTTAACAGAAATAAAGAGTAGACTTTGTGGTTATCAGCAAGAAAGTTATCTATATTCAAGTGTATACAAAGAGTGTCAAGAGTCTGTTTTAGTTTTAAATTAAAACATATTTTTCTTAACATTTCAAGATTTGTAGACGATGATTTTTGCATATGACAGCATCTCATATTATTGATAAATATTTTAAACGTGTAAATACTAAATAAATATTCAGTGCATCTTTTTCTAACCAACAAAAATATTTGACTCTAATTTTCTCAATCAAACATTAAAGTAATACACCCGCTGTCCCCTGTAAAACTAGAGTACCCAACGTACTAAAACGATTTTATTTGCGTTCGGTTAGTTGCTGCTCGACATGCAAATACTGTTCGCCGCATTTGATGACGCCCATAATAATCAAATTTTTATTGAATGAATTGCAAGCTGTTAAAACGCGAAAATTATTTGTCAAGCGCCGAGGCCAAATCCATTGAGATTTCCATCGGCCGGACACGGGACTTGGACTTGCTCGGGCGGTTGGACCCGCCCCGCCCGGTCCAGATCGCTGGGGTTTGGGTTCGCCCCGCATGTGTGGCCATAAAAGTGCGTTACAAATAACTGCACTTTTATTGAATAGTGCCGTGGCGACAAGTGCGGCTGCTGCCTTGGACCGTTAGAGAGGTCTGCTGGTGCAATCGAATCCGAAGCTAGAGATCATTGCCCAAAATTTTCATTAGTTCCATATAATCATTAGGATTTTAGCACCAATTTTGTACATTTTATGCGAAGTGAAAATATCAGCAATTTTTACAACAATGTGACATTTTAATGGATTTATTTGTATCAAAACAGATTAAGAAAGTTACCTCCTTCATAAAATATTCTGAGACAATACATGCATATATAGACCCTTGCAGGTCGTTCCCTTAAGAACATTGTATGTACAGAACTTTCCTGTTTTTAGAAAAATAAAAACTAAGCCTTAAGATAATGTTCCATTTCAACTTACTACCAAATATGTTAACCGAAAATAAACTGAAGTCATTAAACCCTCTGCAAGGATTTAAAATGGAATAATACCTTTTTTCGATATAATATCGATTAATTCGATATTGCAAAATTATCAGAGGTATCTGAGATGTGTACATAAAAATACAAAATTAACTATAATAGTTTTTCGCTTTCATATTGACTATATAGATATTTTTAATATGTCTGATTAAACTCGCAAACAATCAAAATAAATGATAAAACTTTCCCGATATCATATCAGTCGATTTGATTTGTTATATCGATTATTTCGATATTTTTATTTTCTTCTGTTTTGATCTTATGACCTGAACACTTTTTAAGTATGTTTCGAATGCAATGCCTATTTTGCTGTTCATTTCTCTCAGTGCAGTCTTAAACTCGAGTTTAGACTTGAAAAGAGTTGATTCGAGTTAATTGCTGTGCAATTTGTGAGCAGCAAAATGGAATGCGCTGTCAAATCAAACCCGAAGCACTTAATTAAAACTTATTGAAGGCAATCGCCAAATGTGGCGTTGGCAACTGCGCTCCTAATTGCATAAGCATGTTGCTGTTGTCGCGGTGTTGCTGCCGCAATGTTGCACTTAGCATGCTGCATGTTGCAGCTTCGACTGGTTTGTTTACCTGACTTCGGCTGACTTGATGATGGCCTTGGGAGGCGCATCCCAATAGTTGGGGGCTGGTGGCACCCACTGGCGCAGCACTTGATAGTTGCCCTCCAGCAGCGCCATGCCCTCGATGACCTCCTCGTCCGAATCGCCGTCATTATTGGGTCCATCGATGGCATTGCTGTTGGTGTTGGTGTTGGCATTGCTGCTGCCATTGTTGTTGTTGCCGCTGATTCGACCATCGCTATCGGCATGCAAATTATCAAACGAATTGTTCATTGTTTCGCAAAGGCAAAGGCCGGAAAGGCAAAGAAAAACACTAGACTAAGATTTTGGCGCCGCTTTCACTGCCACATCTTTGTGAACATCTCTGCTGCGGAGAGCCTCGGATTTTTTGGGTAAACAAAGATGCGCATTGCCATTTGCGCTGACTCACAGATACAAACACTGACACACACACACACATACACTCTCAGGGGCACCAACACAAAGAACTATCCCCCCAAAAAGAAGAGGAAGAAGCAGCCGCAAACAATAACAAAGGCGGTCGGCAGAATAAAAAGATTAAGTATAACTTGAATTCACTGGAGTCCACAATCTACGTAAATTGCTGGCACAGATTCCGAGTATTCGCGATAATTTCTTTCTTCTTCGATTCCAGTTAATTGGTATATATATGGTTAATTCTTATCAGTATCGGGGATAAGCGGAAATACGCGGAATCGTCGTCCGCTCGCGTTGCACTCACGGATGGTTCTTCCTTCTAATCGGCGAAAATGCTCGTTGCGTTTGTTTTGGCACGACGGGATTGACAAGCACGGCGAAAACCCAAACACATCGCACAAAGGCTCACCAATACTGCCGCACTGGGCACACACACCTCTGAGTCTCTGGAACACACCAACACACTGGAGGGTTAATATCTGGCACTCACTTTTGCATCCCTTGTCGATGGCAGAGAACTCGCCCCGTGTTCGCCCCACGTCCTTGAGTCCTGCGATTTCTCTGCTTCAGTTTCAGTTTGAGTTTCACTTTGAGTTTCAGTTTTGGTTTCGGCTGTTTCGCCTTGCGATTGCCGGCTTTTTCCTTCCTCTTTTTTTAGTGTGTGTGCGAGTGTGGAAAATAAGGGTTTGTAATGTAATGTTTTTATGTCTGATTTCGTTTTCG